TTCGCGATTGTTACACATAGGAAATGAAACTATTTTTCCGGATTTAAATCGCTTATATTTGTTTTCTCAAACAAACCGACGTTTCTGGCCCTTTAAAGACCTTTACCGATCCTTTACGGACCTTTACAGGTCCCAAGGTCACGGTTGACATTGACAATGGATTTTCATACCTTAGGCGATTAACACACAGCACCGCGCTGCGCGACGGTTCGCGGGACGCGGACTCACGCACGCGGTGGCGGAGGCGCAGATCTGCGTCAACACGCGGTTTAATCTGCGCGGGGGCAGCGGTCTAGCGGCCCCGCGCCTCTTAAAGTACTCGCTTCGTAGTTGATCGCCGTAGTGATTGTACATGTAGCTGAGATTCTTCTTTGACAAGAACGGTTAATAATACAGAACCCATTCAGGACGCTGTAGTTATACTGTCCATTTGGTTTTTGAAAGACACCGAAGATAATATTCAACTTCATTACAAAGATTTGAGAAAATTTGAAGATTAATTTTTCAACTACACACATATGTCAGCTGAATCCTTTGATTATTTGTTAGGGAAAATCCGAAGGACAATTACTGGAATAGACACAAATTGATTAAAAATCTGGGCGGTAGTGCGGAGCGCTGTGTGCTGTAACCTGCAGTTCGCCGCACCCCTCGGCGCGAGAATGCGGTGACACTGCGTACGCCGCGCTCCTGTGCGGAAAAGCGTTGTCAGTGTGTTCGACGACGCGTGTTTTCCATACAAACTGATGTACTTCAGTACAACATTAAAAAACGCAGCTCCGTGCTCCGTCTCGGGGCGTGGTGCAGTGGCCTAATTTAGGCCTTGGTCGAGAAGAGTCGCACGGTCCATACATGACAAATTTTCCGTGTTCGTTTTTTGAAAGTAATGCAAACAATTCCAAGCATGTTTGAGGAAAATTCCTTTTTTAACCGACTTCAAAAAAAGGAGGAGGTTCTCAATTCGACTGTATGTATGTTATGTGATAACTCCGGTATTTGTGAACCGATTTTCATGATTCTTTTTTTGTAGGATAGGGAGTGCTTCTATAGTGGTCCCATTTCATTTTGAAGGAAATCATCCACCTCAAAGGGTGGCTGTTCATGCTTGAAGATTCATTTTTATAAATAGCACCTAAATTTTCTTAAGGAGCAATTATTTTAATGGTTGATTTTGCTATTTCTCCAATTCAAGGCGTTTTTCTCTCAATATTCTTTGAGTAGAGAGAACCGATTTTTATTATCTCCAGTGTCAAGTCCTGTATAGTGGCGAATTTAAGGATATTGCAATAAAACTTAGCAAAAAAATGTAATTCCACGTACTTTTGAGGTCAGTTTTTTTAGTACTCTGTACTGATTTATATTTATTTCGTTTCAAATATAAACAAAATTGCATACAGGGTTGAGACCTTCTTTTAAATATGAAAATACTTGTATCAGGAGGTCTCGCCCCTCTGTAACTAGTACGTAAATACTATAATACAAAATAAAATAAAAGTAATATTACAGAAGTCATAAGAAGGCTCAAGGTCACTCAAAGGACAATGGAAAGGGTTATGCTCGGAGTTTCGTTGCGAGATCGAATCAATAATGAGGATACCTGCAAGGGAACCAGAACCGACATAGCCCTAAAAATTGCAAAACTGAAGTGTCAATAGCAGGGCACAATGCTCGCAGAACAGATGGCAGATAGGGCGGAAGAGTTCTCGAGTGGCGACCACGTACCGGAAGACGCAGCGTGGGGACTAACGATCTGGTGAAGGCTGCGGGAATCCGCTGTTTTCTCTGGTCTATGTTCAGCAGTGGACGTCTTTTGGCTGAAATCTCTCTCTATCTCTATCTCTCTCTCTCTCCCTCCCTCTATCTGTATCTCACTCTCTCTCTCTCTCTCTCTCTCTCTGTGTATGTATGTGTGTGTATACGCATGTCAGTGCGATATGTAAAAATGTATATAGGTAAGTGCAATGTATGTAATGTATGTGTATGCTTTACGAGAAGATAAATCTTAGCTGAAAGAAGAAAGACAGAGAAGTAGTTTATTTGGTAACCATATGATAACATGTATATCATAATAATACTAAGCTAATATTATTACGTGTTGCATTCTAATTATTTAATAAACGATTTACTAGGCCACCTACGAATCATATTAACTAGTCCAGATCACGGTTTCTTCATTTACAACATCTGACGTGGTCTTTGGCAAAGTTGCCATATGAAAATAAAAATTGAAGTAGATGGTCATTGCTTACAAACGAGCGCGTATTGACAAGAGGTGCTTTTTGTGTAAGTTGATTGGAAAGTATAGACGTGACGCGGCCGCTCTCTGTGAACTTCTGCGTGAAATTTAGAATCCGTTTTAACCAGATCCATCATTTGCACTTTCGAACTAATTACTTTGTAAAGTGGATAAAACAATTAATTGCATTTAACTGAAGTTATTATTTCACCGCCGGCTGAACGAATTGAATAAGCCAATTATGAAGTAATTCCTGACTCAGCGAATTCCGTTAATGTGTCCCTTTCCGGCCTTAACTCCGACATATTTGTTTTAGTATTAAGTTTTGTGAATATCACCCAGTTTTACTACCACGATGTTCAATTGATTTTGTGAAATTATTCCACTGGTTGGCTAAAATTTTGAATGACTAAGAGTCGTATTCCAGAACTCTATTCAATGCTCAAGTCAGGACTTGAGTATGATTTCTAGCACTGGAAATACGACCCTAATGGCAAGGACTTGAGTATGATTTCTAGTGCTTTAAATCGTACTCAAGTCCTGACTTGAGCATTGAGTAGAGTTCTGGAATACGACCCTACGTATAGTCTGTTCCGATCCATTTTCAACAAAAAATAAACAAACCTGTTTGCTTAGAATAATAACGCATAGAATGATAGTTTCATATCAAACGAACTGTCACAAGTGAGGCAAAAATCAAATTCATGTAGGCTAGTTTTAGTAGTAGGTTCGTTTTCGGTTTTAGTGAATATTTATATAAAAATACAAGTTGAAACGCGTTACTTCCTTGTGGAATGTGATGTTAGTATCTATTTTATGTTTGTCTGACGCATTTTTACACTCAATTACCGCACATTTCGTCATTTTTAGCTAAAATTCTTGAGCTGTTCGCGGTGCAAGTGCCACCTGAGCACTGAAGGCCCGCCCGCTCGTGTAGGCCCATTGGGCGCGCTTCAATTTGCCTCACTTAGCGTGTGCGGACTAGGTTTCTATGCGTTATTATTCTAAGCCTGTTTGGTTAAAACTCTAAAGCAATCACTCAATAAATCGAATAAGTAACACTTTCACGTATATTTCGAAAATGTCGACTTGATATTTCATCACTTTTTCCAACAATATTCATTTGAATAGCATTGTAAAATCGTATTTGAAAAATGGTACTTTGAAAGTATTCGTAAGTAAGAATAACTGATTACTAAATATGTCCCTACAAAATGTATGGTAAAAAGTTTTTTGCGATTTCTGACATTGGTGGCTGGCCTTGCTGCCCCGTTTCAAATCTACACCCTGTATAAGTCTCGGCGGGAACGGGGATTGCTTGAGTCGTATTTATAAAATTAACTCACACTCTCCGGCAATCCCTTACTTCCCGGCCTCTGCAATAATGTACTATTTATTTTTATTATTTACATTAGATAAACAACACTTCAGCAAAATCTTCCATTTAATCACTACATTGATCTAGTTCAGGGTTCACCTATCGAAAACACAATCTTACTTTAGTTTGTAAGTAATACATAAGTTAAAGTAGAGCTAAGTTTCAGCCTTTAACTTGATGTGGTTGGGTGTTTGTTAAGTTAGACGGATCTTCGATTTCTAAGTTAACATCGTGTTAGTTTGGTTTTCATTTCATCGATCCGTAGAGTCAGTAGTATAATATTAGCCTTTATGCAAAATATATCAAATTTTATTTTGTAGCAGTAGAGTTACTTGTGAAAGAGCTCGTCCAGGAAAGTTGCCACCTTACCTATTTCTGCCACTAAGCAGTAATATGAGCTTTACTTCGTTTCGGTTTTGAAGGGTAAAATTACAGGCACCTTATGTCTCTTGGTGACGGGCGCAGTGGGGGTGCCCATCTTTGCGATTAAAAGCTCTGAGTGGCACTGCAACTGTGCCTTCCACCATCCACGACTTGTTATCATAAAAAAAATTTTTTGGAAGAGAATAAATAAATAACGCACACACTCATAACCATGCACTACGGAAACACTGTATCGCGGGTGCCATGAACACACACATAGGCAAACACAAATTACACTAAACTCACGAGGGACATAAACGTAGGCGATAAATATTTCTCCCGGCCCGGGAATCAAACCCGGGACTTTTGTACTGCTACAGTATCTATTTCTGCCGCCAAGCAGTAATGTGAGCATTACTGTGTTCCGGTTTTGAAAGTTAATGGTGTTGTTGAAACTACAACAACATGGGACTTTTACTTTATGTCTCAGGGCACAGCTACAGTGCCCCCCAGCTCTTTGCAATTTAAAGCTCACAACTGTTATAGGTAGACGTGTCGCTTACCACCATGCGCAGCACTTGACATCATAAAAAAAGTGTTGATGATGATAACCCTTAAAAAATATAGGCGGTGACATTAGCTGAGTGGATCCTTTTACATACTCCACAGCCGCACACAATAGTGTTGACTATCTTTAAAGTGGTGAGTGATGATTGAAATTATTTTAGTTCTTCGACGAATTAAAATAATTTAATAAACACAATTAGTTACCATTGTCAATCTAAAGTCAACAATAATAAGAATAAAATGTACCAATGGATTTATGTTACATAAATAAATAATGTTCGACAAATCGCTTAATTGGACGTTTTTCTTTTTCAAGAAAAAGTTATGTGCACCACAGTCCATCGTCAAGTTCGAATTTCAAAAACCTTTCAGACAGATTTCTAATGAGAAAGAATGCCTTTCCGAGCTAGTGAGGTGAAAATGATATGTAATTGTGCAACTATGTATAAAATTTCCTTACCTAATAGCGCAACTTGTGCCGTCCTCGAGGTCGCGCTTGCGCTTACGGCGCCGCGCGTATAGATACGCGGCAAGCGCCAAAAGCGCCACCACAGTTCCACCGCATACTACAACCACTAGCACAATATCGCGGACCTTCATTGCTCCTGTAACAAAAAAAATAGCTTTAAGTTCTTGATATAAAAGCTTAAGAGTCAATTCTACCTAAGCTCGGATTGAATATTTTCCCGTACTGGATCGGTTCTATTATATTATACTATATTTATTTCAGTATTCTTGTAAAATTTCGAGGTAACTTTGTTTTTTTTTTCTATCATAAAAATTTTAGGAATCGTGTTTTCAAACCTCATCTCTATTTTTAACCCTCGACGAAAAAAGAGAAAAATTATAAGTTCTCTTTTCTTTTTTTTTACATAGCCTAGGAAAACCCTGTATCGCGGGTGCCATGGATGGACACACACATGAGTAGACAACCACAAATTACACCCAAACTCACGAAAAATACATGTAGGCCATATAAATATTTATCTCTGTCTGCGTGGCAATCCAGTGTGGTAACCATTCGACCACGGAGGCAGTTTGAAGCCTTTGTCTTTTTTATGATTCCAAGTTACGGGATGAAGAAGTCTAACGCCTGATGGTAAGGGATACGCCTGTCCATAACAGGTGCAGTGCCACTCGGAGCTTTAAACCACAAAGATCAGATCTTTATGGTACTGCCACTGCACCTGACACCCTGAGACATAAGCTGTCACTTGGTATCCTCTTAAAAAGATGGCATAAATTGCGTCTTAGAGCCATTCTTTTATTTTTAAAAGTAAGTATGCAATTAAAGACTTAAAAACTTACTTGCCTCATCAAGGAATCGAACGAACAAAATGTAAAAGAAAACTGTATTTTTAAGCTGATTCACAAGGTCAATTAATAAGGATTAATTCCTTTTAATATAACAATATGGTCAAGTTTACATTACCATACCGCTTGTCTTATTTAGGGTAAATGCTGTTGCGTCAAATTAAATTGTTTAATTTATAGTTCGTATTAAGAAATAGTTGGAGCAAACAATAATGTGTTAAACAATCTATAACCTGGTCTCAAGCTAGAACATTAATCTATTATATACAATGTAATGACTTGATTCTTGTCATTGGCCATGTTGTAATAAATGAGGCAATCTGATCGCTGGGAAAAAGACTGCTTTGTAACTGTCATTTTTCTAATGATTTATTAATAATGAGGATTATTCCCTATGTTAGTACCACGGTAATGAAACAAACTTCCAGGGCATTAAACAGAAACACCAGACCAGAAACAATTTAGAAAAGATCTTTAGATAAACTAGCCTTTCCAGGAATTGAACCCGGAGCACCTTGTTCAAACTGAAACTGGTTTTTTGGATCAAAATCGCGGTTTTTGTTTTTTTTAAACAAACTTTCCATGATAAAATTAAATTTATTGAATACCACGATATCTTACTATTATGATTCAGGTATTTATTTGTTTTTTTAGGGACAGCAGTACAAATCTGGTTACAAACGGTCTAATATATATTTTTTTATAATATCAAGTGACGGGAGGAACAAGTCGAGTGCCTGATAGTAAGCTGCACGTCTGTCCATAACAGTTGCAGTGCCAGTCACGGCTATAAACCGCAAGGATCTGAGGGGCACTGCCACTGCGCCCGTCACCCTGGGACATAAGTTGGTAAGTCCAAGGTGCCTGTAATTACACCAGCACTCTTACCTTTCAAAACCTGAACACAGTTATGCTGATATTACGTCTTAGCGGCAGAAGTAGATAAGGTGGCAGTACTTTCCTGGACGAACTCTTTTCCAAGGATCTCTTCCGGTTTGAAGGTTTATTAAGGGTGATGGTGAAATTACAGCACATGAGTCTTGTCGACTTATGTCTTAGTGTGACGGGCGAAGTTAACAAATTCCAAATTCCTTCGAAACCGAAACGCAGTAATTCTCACTGCTGCTTTGCGGCAGAAATAGGTGAAGAAATAATGAAATAGCAGCTTAATACCTTAGACGAACTCTTTCACCACTCTACTACTAAAACATAATAGAACAATATTGACCCGTCTCTGAATGACTAGAGATTGTGAAGAGGCAATTCCTCGAGTTAGAAAGCAGCGCGAAGCTGGGTTACCTGTCAGTAGTCTGAAATGACATTTTCCAGAAATAACGTTTGGTTCAATTCTCATAACGTCGAAAGTAATTTTGAGAGGAAAATGTTTTTTCTTTTTCACCTTTTTTTTTGCGTGAGGTTATGGCCGGATTTCTACCGACTCGAACCCCAAGGTGGCCTTCTCGGGTGCTCTAGTGAGAAAGATCCGGGATCGACTTTACCGGAACCCCCCAGCACCTAGGAGGAGCTACATCATCCCCCTCCTCTCATCACGACGAAGCGGGTCACACCGCCCCGTCGTCCTCCTCGCGGCTGCCTAACTTACTGGAGAACGAAGCCCTCGCTTCGATCGCCCACAGCCGCGAAGGTACGCCGCTGCCGAGCGGGATCGGCCCTCTCCCGTTCACGCTCGGCGACCTCCTTCTAAAGCATCACCGCTCCACAGAAGGAGACCACTGCCTCATGGGACTCTTGATCCGTCAACATACCCGCTACTATGCCTGGCGGGGAGAGATCTCGCCCGATCCGGGCAACCAGAATGTTCCGCTCGGAGGCCCTTTTTTTTTCTTTTTCACCTAAGTTAACCTAACGTAACAGAACCTAATCGTGTCTTTGCGATAAATATCTAACATATCCTGAAAGAACAACGGTTTCGTTATAATTCGGTTTTCGTTGTCATGAAAATTCGAACAAACGTTATTTCGGAAAAAAATCGAGTTTGTGATAGGTTACCATAAAGCTGAACTCGATACTAAACGTGACGAGACAATAATCACCCTCTGCTATCAACTATAATTACGTTGACGGGATACTCATTATCATCATCAACCAATTTATACGTCCCACTGCTAGACACGGGTCTCCTCTCTCGCAAGGGTTTCAGGCCATAGTCCGCCGTTGTGAACCTTCTTTGACGTCCAGGTTTCAAATTAAATTTCGCACATAAATTTCGAGAAAGCGGCAGAGTTGCGATCTTGGAATCGAACCCACGGCCTCTGCTTGACAGGCGGTAGGCGTACTCATGTGCTCTCAATATGCACGAGTGCTTGCAGCGATTTGGCCTTTTCTTCTGAGAGAAAATCCGTCATAGATACCACCACGTCAAGAGGAGGCGCGGTGGTTATGTGAGACTCCTTCTCACTAAACACCTCCGGGTATTTCCACACCCGGCATAAGACAGGGGTGTGGCCACGTGGTTTATGATCCACGACCGCGGAGCCACCTCTGGTGGGACTTCACTAACGCTAGTGGCTTGCCGGGAATACTCCGCACGCCACCCAACCCGTGAACCCTTATCCAGTGTGTGACAAAGCCGATTTTGCCATCCATGCTGCGACTTAGCCTATCTTATCCATCTTTAACCCAACTAGGAGCCGAAGTAGAGGTCTTGACCGAACACGATCAGGTAGATATAGATACCATCAACCAGTTATGTCTAATAATAATGCAAACCACCCTATTCCAAACTATATTTGCAATAACCCGAAATGTTGGTTTGTTTGAAAAAAAAAACAATACACGCAGTTTAGATAGGAACAATAGTTCCATTTCACGCCCCACCAACTAGGTCGTCAAAAGATTACCCCGGATGTTGTTATGAAAAAGTCGTCAATATAAATCAAAGAACAAATGTATTGTAGGTTGGATCGGCACCAAAATGTAAGTGAGGCAATTACGCCGTTCCCACTTCCGGTTGCCGGAAGCGCCACACGATTTCGAGCCGCACCGACTTTTTGTAAGTTGCAAAAGCAAAAAAAAATATTGCAAATTATAGGTTTTCATTTTTAAAACACCGCTCGAGTAGGTTGTTTTGTATTTGACGTCGTATCTATATTACTATCTTGTGTTGTTATTTCCTTTGTTATTTTACTGCATGATATTTTACGTCATCATCGTTGATAGGGCAAGGGTCACGCTGACCTAATTGGGAACTTATGCAACGGTTGAGAAGAGATGTGCAAGCGTTCGGGTTTTGACCCGGCGCGTTATAAACATTTGGTTTTAATCACACAACAACATATTACGTTAGAACTAAATATTTGTAAGTCGAATTTTGTTCAAATATATGTATTGCTTACAGATTTTGCTTTCTATTAAATCGATTCGCTTGAAAATCTCATTCAAGTGAATCGATACGGCCCCCTACTAGATCGACGGATGACCTGGTAAGGGCGGCGGGTAACCGATGTATGCACGTCGCGTCCGATCGGCTGGTCTGGAAATCTTTGAGGGACGCCTACGTTCAGCAGTGGACCTCTTCCGGCTGACATGAGGATACAAAGACTTGTTATCTATACACTCGATTTTCACAAAATCGAATAATAATGTGCATCTCTAATAATAATGAGAGACCACAGGATTGCAAGGTGTGTATTGTGTAGGGTTGACACTTTTTCTTTTAATAAAATATATTTTATACCAAAGGACACACAACCTCGAACAACTAATGGTCACAGGACGGATCGACGGTAAACGTAAGAGGGGTCGCTGACCCACAAGTTGGTCCTACCAAGTTTGTACGGCTCTCGGCATGGGTCTCCATGATGCGCTCCACTATTCCAAAGACCGCCACAGATGGCACAAAGGCGTCATGCAGAGAATTTCTGCGGCGAAGCAACGATCTTCTGAAATGTGATATACGACGTTAGAAGGAGGATATCGAAATATCTTTTTTTTATATTATCAAGTGAGGAGCGAACAAGTCGTGCGCATGCTGGTAAGCGACACGCCTATCCATAACAATTGCAGTGCCAGTAGAGCTTTAAATCGCAAAAATGTTAGGGACACTGCCACTGCGCCCGTCACCCTCACAAGTCCCAAGTGTACCATAACTATTTAAAAACAATATAAACACAGTTTCATTATTTTAATTTACTTATAGAAAAAGTATTGTATGCACACATTACATAATCAGGTATCGCACTTATTACTAAGACACCGGTCGTGTATAGAATACCTTTGGTATGGCTCTGTTACATACCAACTGGCCACATTGGATTCAATTGACAAGGGTGCCAAGAGGTTTATAGGTGACTCTAAATTAGTAGAGCCGAAGTTGCGCCTTGAACACTGCCGTAGAGTTGCCTGCTTATCAGTATTTTACAGAATATATCACGCAGAGTGTGCGATGGAGTTATACGATTTAATTCCGCTTTTCCCTTTCCATCATCGGGGAACTAGACGTAGGCTTGGGATCTACCCCTGTGTTGAGGATATTTCAAAGATTCGCACGAAGCGCTACGCTTCCACATTTATATGGCGAACGGCTAGGGAGTAGAATTAACTGCCTGCATACTTGTTCACTGAACGTTATAACTTGAACCTTTTCAAGGCCAGAGTGAATAGGCATTATTTATGTGTGCATGTTCCATCGTCGACCTCATCGTCACTTTCCTTCAGGTGAAATAGAGGTCGAATGTGCATTTACATTCGTATAAAAAAGGACTAAGAATCCCCATCAATAAATACTAGACGTATAACCACATGTGACTTTATTAGACAATTTCTTTATTGTCATCACTTGACCTTAGCATGGTCATTAATGTCGGAACATAGTGAACATAGAAATTCCGACGGGCCGTCACGTGTTTGATCCATATGCCCACGTAAATCTTCCAAAGGACGTGATAATCTTGGCCGAAAATAGTTATAAAGATGCAAAAAAATAATCTCAGAACAGAATACTAAAAAACCAACCTCAAAAGTTTATGGAACTATATCTATTTGAAAAGTTTTATTGAGATCGGTTACCGGAAAGTGCGCGAAGCCGGATTCATCCCCTACTTTGTCACCTTTAGAGGTAGAATATTTTCTTAAAATTCAAATGGAACCAATACTGAGGTACCTTCTTCCCAATAAAAAAAGAATCATCGAAATCGGTTCACAAATTTGTTGTCACCTTTAGAGTTCTCGCGTAATATACATACACAAAAAAAATTGTGTAAAAAATACAAATAATATATAAATAAAATTACAAAATTCCTACACAATATTTCTTTGCAACTAATTAAATTTTAAAAATTAAATTAGGTCGTTAAAAACCACAAAATAAGGGTCAGCAACAAGCACATAGAAAAATTCGTAATGTCTGTTCGATCGTTCCGTATCTCAGTTGGGGGAACGTCAGCCACGTTGAAGACGACGGTTCAACTTCAGATTGAATTCAACTTTCTTAGTGTTCGATCTTTGTATTAATAACTATAACAAAGTGGAGTAATTTCCCAAAAAATAATTGAATATCATGATAGTGCAACATCCTGAGATTCAATAAATTTCATTGTAATTCGAAACATAGAGCTCTTTGTGAGAGTTCGTCCAGAGAAGTAATAGGTGAGGTGCTATTTCTGCCGCCAAACAGTAATGAGAGCATTACTGCGTTATACGTGTTATAATGCATTATAAAGACCCTTAATTCACTTCTGTGCATTCTGGCCTTTTCGAATTTTCGGCGGAATTCATATGTATTGCGTGCGAATAATAGCTTCAATGTCCAAGCAGGTTCATATTGACCTTTTTAACACTAATGTACTTACCGGTGAAGCCTCTTATTAGTACTTTATTTTTTGGCAAGTAGATAATTTCGTGAGGCGCACTATAAGTTTCCGGAATGAATAAGAAAAAAATACTATAAATGGTCAGAAATTAATTTATTGTTTCTCAAAATATTCTCTTTTTTTGTTTTTTTTTATGTTTTATTAAAAAAAGAAGCAATCATCGGTTTAGAGGCACTTTACACGCGCGCCACTTTCGTTGGTTTCGGCTCATGTCGAAAGATCCATACGCTCGATTGCTGTTTTGTTTTGAGATCACAACTCTAAATCCATGTTTCGTCACCTGTTCCTTTATCCCACACCAAATTTGACGCCCCTTCGTTGAATCTGATAAGCATGGCATTGCACCAAGTGACGCGATCCGTTTTTTGAGCCTCAGTCAAATTGTGTGGGATCCACCGAAAGCACAGCTTTTTCACATCCAAATGTTTGTGTAGTATTGATTGTATTTGACTCATGCCTATGCCTAATGATGCCCGAACCTCAAGGTATATCACATGCCTGTCTGTTTTCATCATACGGCGCACAGCATCGATGTTTTTGTTGTTCACAGCAGTTTACGGGCGACCATCACGAAATTCGTCACTGAGATTCACACGACGGCGTTTGAATCCTGCAAACCAGCTATAAATAGTCGCCTTGCATGGTGCTTCATCGCCAAAAGCAGTTTGAAGCCGAGCGAAGCACCGCTGAGCTGTTATTTTATACTTAAAATCGTAGAAACTCATACTACGAAAATTTTCACGTGTTAAATCCATGGTGATGTAGACAACCAATTTCTAAAATGACGCAACAATGTAAAAACAATTGACCGTCAGATGAAACAAACTGTATTCTACAGTCAAGGAGTTCCATTTTCAAATGTTGTAATTACTTTTTAAATATTGCTTATCTAAGTAGCCAATTTCGGAAACTTATAGTGCGCCCTATGTACTATTTATTTTTATTTATTTTATTTATTCATTTATTTCAGGCAACTAAGGCCCATATAACAAATACCTTACAGACTAACATACATATTATTATTATTGATACATACCTTACAGACTAACATACATATAAAATAATATAAACTTATTAACTAATTACACGAATTACTATTCGGCGACGTGCGACGCAAACAAGTGTCATGTATCGTTCCTCTGAACCGCCGGAACATGACACCCTTCGGCCAAAACTCTACCTGCATGAAGGTCGACAGATGGACCGTTGGGACCCTCACCACAAACGAATTAAAGTTAACGTTGTGGCGAGACTCCAAACGTTCGACCCTCAGGGTGAATTGGGCTTTCAACCGGATATACTCCACTATATCCTCAGACTTCGTGGAGTAATGCAGTCGAGACAGGTACAACTGCGTCGTCGGTATGGCCGCACGAAGCAAGAAGTTCTGTCCCGTTGGAGCTGTGCCACATAGATTTCGGCTGGTGGGTTTCTTTCTTCTCTTCTCCACCTTTGTGAAGCCGTCCTCGTCGCACCTGTCGGTCTGCCTCTGAGATTTGGCACCTGCGATTCCAGAGACAGGCATTCGGGGTTTACTACCGCCCTTTGCAGTTTTCCGCAACTCGGGTTTTGAAGTCGCGGTTCCGCTGCTAATAGTCGCGGCGTATGCACGCCCGGGCGATGACGTCCATACGGGTGACGTAACCTCCGAGGCGGAGGGGCGGGCAGGGGGGCACGGTGCATTGACAACAGCAATGACCGGCGACATACGAGCCGACTCAATACTGCCGACGGATGCTTTTCGCGCCCCGCGACGCGTGTTGACGTAGGAGACTGTCGGTGACCTACATACCGAAGCGGGGTTGCGTAACAACGCAACTTCGGCACGTAGCTCACTTATGGAGTTATCCGACGCCTCCAATTTTGACTGAACTTCAGCCAAACTCGACTTCAAGGACGTGATGTCCTTTAACAGCCTGGTGACGTCGACGTGGTCAAAGGTGACCGGAGGCAACTTGTGCAGCTCCTTCGCCACGAAAGTAGGCACGTCGTCCGGATCGGTATTCTTCAAGAATGCAGTAACATCCTGGACACTCTTCAAGCCTCCATCCCTCCGACGAGATGGCATCTGCTGCGCTTTGCCGCAGCTCTGGAACAGCAGCATCTTGCCACTGCAAATCTCATCTTCGTTGAAATTAGATTTGCAGATCTGCTCGATGCTGACTTCATCCATTGTGTCGATGGCATTCTGCACGAATGCCAGAAACTCATTGACAATTTGTTGTTGGGAACCCATTGTCACTTACGTACATGCAGCAGCCTAAGCCGCGCAAAATCGCGAATTAAAATAATTCTCGCAAAGTAGTGCAGCGCGTCCGTTTCCGATCACACATTGAACACCAACTATGTGTTACGAATATGTCATTACATATGTAGTATAGTTACTAGTTATATAGTTATAATTTAATGCGCATTAATCAACTTAATGTGTGTCTATCGGTGAGGGCCAATAATTGCCTCTCCATTATTATTAAGTAAGATGATAGGGACCTTTTTGGGGAACCCGAAGGTTTTGTCTGTGCAATACAGGATAAGGTTATCGAGACGCGGAACTATCGGAAATATATCCTAAAGGACGGTACAGTAGACATTTGTCGGGCACGTGGCCGAACCGGAGAGTCCCTTAGGCATTGTTTCCGGTTGCTCCGCTCTTGCTAACACTGAGTTCTTGCACAAACACAACCAGGCAGTCAATATTACACCAAGAGCTCGCTCTGAAGTACGAACTCGTGCAACAGAGGATGCCATATTACAAGTATTAACCGGAGCCAATACTCGAAGATGACCGCACCAAAATCTATTGCGATTGATCCATTATCACAGACATGACTAGTGTGAATAAGCCTGATATTGTGATATTGGATCGATAGCTGTCGAGGGTATATCTTGCGGACGTTACCATCCTAGTAAAAGTCTAGTCTAGTAAAAGCCGAAACCGAGAAATGCCGGAAGTATCTCGACCTGGCGCACGAGATCACCGACATGTGGGATGTGGCCTCCACTGAAATAATCCCAATTGTTTTATCCGCAAATGGGTTAATTCCAGTCAGCCTTGCTAACAGCTTGATGCGATTGGATTTCTGTGGTATGTCGCTTCCAGCACGAATACAAAAGGCGATCCTGCTCTATACGGCACGTATTATTCGCCGTCTCCCATTTAAAAATTCAAAATTAATCTTTTAGGCCTTGGAAAAGGCGAGAGCCTAATATAAATTAAACCTTAGCCTAAAAAATTAGCCTAATATAAAATAGATAATAATAACGCAACACTCATAGCCCCGCACTAGGGAAACCCTGTGTCGCGAGTGCTATGGACACACACATAGACAGCCACAAATTACACCCGTTCGTCACGTGAGTTTCACGAGAGAAATAAATGTAGGCCATACACATATTTCTCCCGGCCTGGAAATCGAACCCAGGACTTCTGCGTGGCAGCCCAGTGTGGCAACCGCACGGCCACGGAGGCAGTTATGATAGCTTTGGCCTTCCAATAAGGTAAAATAAAATAAAAATAAAATAATGTGAGCATTACACGTCCCTTGTGAAAGTGTTGAATCAAAATGATACATATCAAGGTTTTAGTAGCCGTAGAGCTCCATGCATCGATTATATAAAGACCGAAGATTATAAAAGACGAAATGTTATTTAATTTGTTTGAAAATTAATCTGCCAAATTTTTACGGTGACAACTGCGCTCCGATTGGCTAGCCCGAAATCGAAACATTTGACGAGTGTCGTCAATTGGTTAACTTCAATTCGACCGGTTTAACTTGAGCCTTGCTATAATGGACGAAAATTGAAAAATTACATATTTAATTACCGATGAAATGTGATTCCGTTTGTTTTGTAATTAGATGTTTTGCTGTTTTTCATACACCACCAAATGGAACAGCCCCCCATAGTTAGAAATACTATCTTTATTGCAATAAATACAGAATATTTTTGGAATATACGGAGACGTACATGCAGATTTTTTATTGTTGCTGTACTATTTCAGCTTTCTATTTTTATTTGTAATTTTAGTGCAAACGAGAGTTGATGTTTAACCGCTCACGCGATTCATGCAGCCGTAGACGCATGCCACACCTAGAGGTGCCGGTAATGATTTTATACCGATTTATCGGATATCGAAGTTATAACAGGTAGAAGAACTAATATTAATTGCTATTTCGGTAACTACTCTAGCAAACCATAAAGTTTTTAATGCCTGGGTGTTACATTTAAAAAAATAAACAACTTCAAATATACGTCACGACAATCGTGTGTGTTATTGTTTGGGCTGGTGATTTCGGTGTTTATTTATTGAAAACATACCGTAAGTAGCGTTTTTTAAGTTTACCCTGAATATCAACGTTTATAAACTATACTTTAAGGAGTAAATTCTTGGTAAACGTTAGAACCACTCAAACGGAATATTATCATATTTATCCAAGTACACCAAAAATTTCATTACTGCTTTTTAAGTGTAGGATTTGCGGTGTATTACTGCATTTTATTTGAGATGTTTTTGTCGGTAGTACGGAGGATATTTATTTAGCAATGCAGAATAATAATTTTTATTTATAAAAACTTGTATTTAAATTGAATGCTTTTCTAATTTGCGAAACCAAATAGCCGCATTTTGCGGTAGGAGGAGCGCATCGCGTGAGCGGTTAAAAGTAATAATAAGGCCCATTTGCCTCATGAGTTAAGGGATGGATGGCCTTTATTTCGTCTCTATTTCTGATTATATACTCGATGGCTCCTTATGAAAGGGTTCGTCCTGGCAAGTACAAGCCCTGTTTATATTGTAACCAAAAGATCGATTTCAAATTTAGCGCTATACATATATTGCACCAAGTATACGAAATCGCAGTTACATGGCAAGCATTGAGCTTACACAGCTCTTAAACATTTTATACACATTGTACTAAATTAATAAAGAACAGAACAACAAAAGTTCTTAGAACAGAAATTCAGAAACCTATTATACACAGTAAAATGACTAGGCAAGCTAATAAAAAACTACTCACAATTCCAAAATATTTAAATGTGTACGGTAAACGAACTTCAAAATATATAATCCCAAATCTCATAAATAATCTACCTACTGAAATTAAAAATAACATAACCGAAAAAAACATTAAATATGTACTTAAAAAATATATACTAGAAAACTTATAGTGTAATTAATTAGTTCTCGTAATTTGTAAAGGCGAAATGGGAATGGCCCGTGTAAAGTATATGGTGACCGACCGGTTTCGCGAGTGTGGAATGCACGGCTCGATGCTTAATGACCGTACGAATTTTTATTGTGTTCGGATGTACTAAATAGTTTAATTTTTTCATGAAATACCCACATGTTGTATTATATGTCAATATGATCTAATTAGGTATATGCTAGAATTAAGTGTGTGAAATAAATATTAAGCGTAAGGATAGAATATGAGATCACCAGTATTGAGTCAAACCAGCTATGGTTTTTACAATACTGTATGCATTAGTAATGTCATTGATATGTGTGTTAAATAAATAAAAATAAATAAAAAAAAACCTCTCGAAAATCACAAAAAAGAAAACCATAATTCAAACTGGAGATTAAAAGTAGCTCTCCACGTTCTGAACAATTTTATAAACAAACGAAGCATAATTGAATGCAAAGCCTACCTTGATCCTTTAATAAATTATATAGAGATGATAGCCCGTGTTGAATATTTTAACCTTACTATTAAGCTTCTCATTGTAATACCACGAATATAGAACCGTCACCGTACCGATTGTTACCAATAGAGGGCGTTATTAATATTTTGTGAAAGAGTTTGTCCAGAAAAGTACTACCACCTTACCTATTTCCGCCGCCAAACAGTTTTTTAAATATTTATTTTATTTTTGAGAGTACTAACAGCTTGTATCGCAATGGAATAGAAACTGTTATTGAATAATTCAGTGCATCCAGTGAAAAAGGGAATAACTCAAAATCGACACTTTTTAGGAGAGGCAAAAACCATACTTTTGTTATTGGTTGTTCGCGTTCATTAATAATACTTTTTACGATTTATAGCTTTAAGTATACATCTAAGCTTTCGTTTAATGGGTATTGATTGAACGTTCAGTCACATTTTATATATATTTTTTAAGTTTTTTTCGAGTTGCGTCCTTGTTTATGAATGCTTAGAGGTAATAACACGACTTATGTTAACAAACTTTAAGACATAATTCTACTTATTATCGTAACTGCGACTGTTCTATGGTTGTATTAATACTTATGATACTAACCACATTGATAAAAGGCATGAAACATTTAGAAGAATAAAACGACAAGTTTTCTATTGCGAACTATTGACCTATAGAGCACAACGATTAAAAAATATAATAATCAAGTGACGGGACGAAGAAGGCGTGTGCTTGATGGTAAGCTACCCGCCGGGGGTACCGAATTTTCCACAAATAACGTTTGGTCGAATTTTCATAACCTCGAAAGTAATTTTGAGAGGAAATTGTTTTTTCTTTTAAACCTAACCGAACCTAATCGCGTCTTTGCGATAAATATCCAATATATCCTGAAAGAACAACGGTTTCGTTGTTATTCGGTTTTCGGTGTAATGAAAATTCGAACAAAGGTTATTTCGGAAAAAAGAAATTCGAGTTTGTGATAGGTTACCACACGCCTATCCGGTTAATAGTTGCAGTGCCACTCAAAAAACTGCACAGTGCACTACCACTGAGCCCGTCACTCTGAGACATAAATTCAAAAGTCCCATGTGCCTATAATTTCACCAGCACCCTTACTCTTCAAAACCGGAACACAGTTATGCTGAGATAGTAATGACTGTAAAAGTAAAGGCAAGGTGGCAAGTACTTCCCTAATTTTTCTTTGCAGACGTATTTTTCCACTTCGTAACTTTCTTGTCTTTCAACAAATGTGTCTATACCCGGAAAGGCGGTTTTTTTTTATTAATATCCAGTGACGGGACCTACGTAATGACTGCGGAAAAGAACGTTTTAAAAAAGAATTTATTATTACAATAAAAGACGTTTAATTCGGATCAAAAACCTTACAAGACTAAAGTACAAAAAAATACAATGAAAAGCAGAAAAGCATTACGTTACATAAATCTAAATAGTAAGCTAATTCGCCATAGGTGAGCTTCCGCATTTACCAGGCTTTACGCCGTGGTAACTCGGGACAAACGGTTCTTTTGCAGATGATTTGAGGCCTTGTGACGCATGCCCAGTTAGTTATGTGTATAAAAA